TATCACGGAGAAATTGAGTAATTACAAATAATGAATTAATCTTCTCGACTTTAAGCGCAAAACTTAACACTAATCGACGCTCAACGGCGGAAACAATATACTTCGCGATTCTCGCGGAAAAATCAACGCTCAACGGCGGAATAATCAAAAATCGACGCTCAACGGCGGAAAATAATAAAAAGAAAAACGGAATATAACTGTGGCAAATATCGAATGAATTTACCGTGTTAGTGCTACTAAATGTAACCTAACCACGAGCAAGGTACTGTCTCGTGTATCACGGAGTACTTTGTGCTTCCGAAGAATTTGATGCCCGGAGCCGACCGACGCGGAGCTAACCAGTGGTATCCTGGTCGAAATCGAACTGCCAAAAAATGATTTTCGGGCGGTATTTATATGATTAGCATCATCAGTGATTGTATGGGCTTCATAGGTAAATTATTACAAAAAAAAAAATGAAAGGTAGTGAAGGGCAATTGTCCGTGCGTCATCGCATTTTCTAATTCTTGGAAATCAAGGTACTTTCATGAGTAGTTTCGAAATTTACCTTGAGTCTTCAATTTGGAATAGAAAATGAGATGATACTTTCACTGTATTATGAATACAAAAATAGGTAAAAGTCATTGAAAAATTGAAAGGTATTGACAAAAAAATAGAAATCCGAAAATTAGAAGGGGTGTCATCAAATCTTTGGAAAGTTAGGCCAGATTACTCTTCTACAGACTTCAAGGGTATGATAAATTGTAAATTAAAAATAAAAAGTTACATATATTTAGAAGAAAAACAAAATTTTTAGATTTTAGCAGACGTCACACTACTGTATTGCTTGATAAATTCGCTATCAATTCGTCGATAAATTTAGAAGCTGAATCCCAATCATTCATTAATGATTGGAGGATAAATAACGACTTCATCACACTTTCAAAATTGTGCAAATCAAAGAAAGACGTGTTTTTGATTATTTCACGCGCCGAACCTCTAAATTTATTTTGAATTAATAGCAAAAATTCCCTTTGACTCGCTGGTGAGAGCACAGAATATTCCCTTTTGCAAGAGATCATAAAATTTATTACGGTCGTGCATGAACCGTCAAAATACGGTACGAGTGCAGCCGCCTCGGAAGCTGATAATTGCAGCATTATAAATCGAATAATTTTTCAATTAAAGCAATTATCTTATTTCACGACCAGCAATCAATTAGGCATTCAATCATCAACCAATAAATCAAAATTTAGTAGCTCCATTTGCCGCAAAAATTTTGATAAGTAACCATTTTGTTCTTTTAAAAGGTTGACGATAGAAATTAAAATTTTAACTTAAAATTGAGACGAGTTCTCGTACAATTCCATAATGTAATATGATTAAATTATGTAACATAAGTATATGTTTTGCATCAAAAAATTAATCAGACTCAATTATTTATAACAAAATCATTTAAATGTAGGTCAAAATTATAAGTCGACTATAAAATCCTACTGATATTGAATCAATTAGAATCATTTAATACAAATATAAATTTGATCGAATCAATTAACAAACAAATGTCGATTAACTTGAATAATTTTAATATAATATAAAATTATAAATGATAAATTAACAATTTTTAATTTTAGTGTACGTCACCGTAACAATGTCGTAACGATATACGAGCAGTTTCTTCGATGGCAATTGTAAACTTATCACCTCACTTACACACCACAAAAGATTAAATTCATAAACAGGAAGATTATTTTATAAATTACTAATTTATATCTTCCGTCGATACACTCTTCACGTAAACCATTATAAATTTTCTGACTAATCAACTCGACTTTAAAAATCCGTAGCAACACTTTATTCAATTTAATTCACTTTAATAATCGGTGTAATAAATTCCATTTTTATTTTCGATGAAAAATCTCAAATAACACTTTTTGATTTAATAGTCCGTAGCAACATTTTCAAATTTAAATTCATAAATCTTATAGTTTATTCAGTAAAATTCCATTTGAACCATTTCCTAAGAGAGAGTATGTGACATCCTGGTCACAGCACCACTGTAACGTTCTGAAAAATTTGAGTTTTTCAGTTGAACGATTTTTATTATTTAATCTCCAGGCTGGCTTCATTAGGGTATCAATAGACCCCAGGTGAGCCCGTTGCGCAGCTCTCTCTTAAATTTTAAATTTATTTTATAAAGGTTTTAATTTCAAATGAATCACCAAAATTTCGTTAGATAAGATATATTAAAAAACTTAATAATTTGGGTGGAGTCAGTCAGTCTCCGGACATACGTCCGGGGCCTAAGATGTTTGTCGGCTGACTGCCTTGGCCTGACTGCTCTGGATTTGCATCCAGAGTACAAAGAATTATAACAATTAATAAAATCGGCAACCGTCATATCTCAGGTTACCCTAGAGAAGTCGTCGGAGTCCAGCTCTCACGATGTTTAGGCTAGAGCCCGGCGACTTTCTTATCAGAAGCGATTTCCGTTAAAAGCTCCATAAAGGAAAAACCGGCTTAAGGGAGCCGCTCTGCCCCACCCTCCCCTATTATTATTACTATTGCTATTAGAATTATTATTATGATTAATTTTTTATTTAAAAGAATTAATAGTTATATTTGTTTTCCACGTCGTTTGTTAATTATAATATTTGTTTTGATGAAAGTTGTGATTAAAATTACTTTAAACGACGTCTAAAAGAAAAATGAATTTTGTAGTTCGCCATCGCCGCGATAGATGGCGGATAATTTCGATGACTGTTCGCTCTCGATAAAAATCGCCGAACTAATCAAAGCGAAACCATGTAGCGATAATATTTGTTCTTTCAAAGAACAAAAATTGAATTTACTTGAAAAAAAGAATAAAATAAAATATTCCGAATGACTTCGAAATATCCAATAAATTGTTTTTTTTCTAAGTCCCAGTGACTAAATAATATGAGAAATAATTTTTGGAAATTAATTATTTTGTCACAGTGTTTGCTCACTGTGGCATTTCCCGCCGTGCCTGAACACACTGGTGTTGGAGGTTTCGCCAGATGGCGGCACCTTCCGAGCGATTGATAAAAATTTGATTATAAGTTAAGATTAAGTTTTAAGTTCAAACTGTTGATTTATATTTTATTTTCAGTCCAGAAGGCGGTCGGGATGGTCGCCGACGATTTAAGATTCGCGGGGATTTAAGTTCGATGTTTAATTTAGAAATGTGATTTATTTAATTATTAATTTGGTAAGTCCTTGAGTATTATTCCACCGGGGAAATTTCTGAGAGCCTCCCGGGCGTGAACCGGCACCGGTTTTCCGTGTGAGGCCGCCATTTTTACCACGTGGCTGACACTTGGTAATTTCTTTATGTTCGATTATTTAATTTTGCAAGTAAATTATTTATGATTGAACGTGAGTTAAATTATTAATTAAAATTGAAATAGCCTCTCGGGAAAAATCTCGGGGCGATTTAGTACAAGCTTAATTGGTAAAAGACTTCTTATTGCGATTATTATTATAATTATTATTTGAAGCGTGATTTGTTTTTGATGTTGCCGAATATCGAGTATTATTATTATTAGGGCCAGGAAGTTGACGTTTTTTCTTTGTTAAAATTTTAGGTTAAACGTATGAAAGTTCATTTAAATAAGTACGAAAGTCCTGACGCTAATTATTATATTTATAATTTTTCAAGTGTAATTCACAACTGATATTATTAATTATCAATTATTATAATTATTAAAGCGGCATGTTGGCCGAGCGGACTAAGTCATTATCCCGTTAGTTCGTTCGCACATCATGCCACGAGGCGAGGGTTCGAGCCCCGACGGTTGTTCGAATAGTTCCAACACCAACCGTCGGGGGTCGCTCCGGTAGCCGAACTGTACTGGCATGGGTTTTCTCTGTAGTTTCCCCATCGCCACTATTCCAACAACCGATCGAAAGGGGTGAGGAATAGGGTGAATACAGTACAGAAAGTACAAGTCGGTCTACAGCCGCATTGAGAATAAAGTTATGTGCAAAACTCCAATGTGTCAAGAAAGACGTAGATAATATGTGTGGAAAGACGTTGATAATATGTGTGTGTAGATAATAATGTAGTGAAAACGGATGGCTGGGGTCCAATAAGTCAGTATACCCACAAGACGGCAGCACAGTCGCTAGCGACAGCTACCATCTACTCAGCCTTGTAAAAATATGCCCAATATATACAAGTAAAAAGGAGATATTATTATTATTATAATTCATTAATGAAATAATGAAAAATTCAAAAAATAAAAAAAAAATTGAAATTGAAATTTGGCGCTACTGTCAAAAGCTTTGAGCGCTACGAACGTGATATACGGTAGTTATTTATTCTTTGTTGATTAAAGAGAGAAGTGAGTATGAGAGACGTTCATGGTATAGACATGTCAATATTAAGATTTATTTGTTAAAGTAAAATCTTCCTCAAATAATTTTGAACCTATAAAAACAAAATTGAGGCCGAATAATTTTGTGTGTCGATAAAGGTGTGTCAAAATTCAATTTCCGTGAGGAACCTTTTAAAATTGGGTCGGGAATCAGCTACGCGATTGTAAGCGACGGGAAAATGATTTAACCGACGAGGATGAACGAGAGTGGAAAATGCCGTGTATGAGTGGGTTTATTTTGATTTATCGGCGTTCTCGTAAAATGTATAAATTTAATGTTTTGTTTATTATAATAAAGAGGTTTTCTTTTTGTTAATATTATTTAAATTTTCGAATTTTGAGTTAATTAAAATTACCCTCGTTAGGACCTTGGACTCCAGCGAACTTAAATCGAGCCGGGGGTAAAATTACCCGTTAAAAAAGTACCCGTTACAATATAATTAAGATTTTTTTTTTTTTTCAAGATTTAAATTTATTAATGCCAAGGCACAGGCCAGATGGCAACTATAAAATATAACATAATAATACAAAATACATAGCGATCATAATTTATAATTTATGGTTTTCGATTTAACAATTTACTCAACTTCACTAAAACAATTTATCAACTTAATAATCAGTTTAAAAGTCTAACTCTAGAAAATAATCAAAAACTTTGTTTCTAAATACTTCAAGACTATCTGAGTTAACAATATCACTAGGTAATTCTTCCCATACTCTTATCACAATCACCAAAAACGAGTGTTCCAGATAAGTCTTCGTAAAGCGTGGTAATTCAAAAGAAGTGTGTTTTTTCGCTGCTAACCTATCCGAGCGTCTTATATCTGCTTCTTTAACAAACAAGTTCCGTAGATAGTTTGGCTTGCCAACACTAAGCAACTTATACAAGAGGCAGGTCATGAAGTACATTCTACGGTATTTGACTGATAACCAGCTCAGGTCTTTACGATACGGACTGATATGTACATCTCGTCTGAGATCAAATATAAAACGTATTGAAGCATTTAATGCATGTTGCAGCTTCCTGTCTTTCTCAGCTGTCGCATCCACTAGGACTGCAGAACAATAATCCAAAAGTGGTAGAATAGTAGCAGTGACTAATATCTTTCTAAGTTCCTTTGTGAAGATATTTTTACGCACTTTCAGACAATGTAGAGCTGAGTTTACTTTGCGAACAACTTGAGAGACATGAGTATTCCAAGACAAGCTTCTATCTATGTAGACTCCTAGGCACTTAACAGAGTCTATGTATAGTATGACAATGCAAATTTTTTTTGACTGGTGGAACATCAAATTCTTGCAATTGTCTTAACCTACCATTTGAGCCAAGGATCATTGCCTTCGTTTTCGACAAATTTAACTCCAATCCATGGGCATTCGCCGAATTTGCGATCGATTGAGCATCTAGATTTACTTGTCTAACAGCTTCCTCAAACTGGTGAATAAAGAAATGTTGATAGATGTAAGTATCATCTGCAAATAGCCCATGCTTGCAGTAAATTAGCCACCTTACCACTGAATTTATTACAATTAAGAACAAAATCGGACCAAGGACTGAACCCTGGGACGGCCCTGATGATGTTGTAAGAAGCTGAATCGGTGTTCCATGGTCATCAAGAATGGACTGAGACCGGTTTGATAGATATGAAAGGAACCATGCAATCGTATCCAATGAGAAACCAAGCTCATAAAGAGCTGTTAGTATGTGACTTGAAGAGCTCAAAAACATCATAAGTGCAATTTTAAGCGTTTAGATATGGAATTCGCGGAAGTTGCAGGGATGGCCTTCAGGGTCAACCGTTTTCCAGATTTTTTTGTCATAAATCAGCGTTATGAGACGTGCACTTTTCTGATTTTCCAAACTTATCTTTTCTCTCCGTGTAGAGTAATAAACTGATAATTCCGAGAAACTTTTTAAAAATTTAATTCATTCAACTCGGGTAATGATTTTCTTACAGTCAATGAAATAAAGAAGAAAAAAATTTGATATATGAGTAATTTTTTTATTTTAGCTTTATGGAAATGTTAGCGCATCAGAACTAATTTTACATATAAAAATAATTTTTACGATAGTAATAAATTAATTTCTATCAGTTTAATACTTGAAAAATCAAAATTTTATACATTTAAAAGTTTACGTCAGAATAACTTTAGAACGGCTGTCTTTATGATAAAAGTGTAAGAGACCTTTTTTGTAGAGCGTTGAATTCTCTACAAGAATATGCTATAGACTTCTTCATATAAGGTGCGTATGCCGAGCTAGAAAAATAAACAAAAAAAAAGAATTCTTTTCCCTATGTTATTTAAATGGGAAATAAAAAATTAGGGACAGACACCTCTAAATATTAATATTAAGAGCTCTGCTTTGAACAGGCTTCTGTTCTCACCTTCATGCAAGTTTTCAGCCTGTTTTTTCGTTGAAAAAAAAAGTCGCCTAAAATTGGCACACCCTAATAATCATATATAATTGTATATAATCATATATGATTATATATGGAACCACATATATAATTATATAAAATTATATATAATCATATATAATTATGCATGATTATATATAGAATTGTATATGAGGTTATATATAATATATAATTATATATGACTATATATGGAGCAGTATACAGCCAAGCAAGATTATAGATTGATCCATATATAATAATCTATATACATATAAGCGAAATACCACTGACTCATCACCAGATCTCCGAAACTATAGGACCGATTCAATTAAAATTTGGCAAAGGTACTCCTTTTTTACCGTAGATGAGAGGTAAGAAGCGATATTACGGAATTCCTATCGGAAATAGATTTTCACTTACTGACTCCCGCTCATAAAAGAAATGGTCCGTTGCTATGGTTACCATTACCATGGTTACCGTTGCTATGGTTACCGTTACTATGGCCACCGTTACCATGGTTACTGTAACCATAATAACTGACAAAATAAATAAATTGTGATAACATATTCGGTTGTCAACTAAATTCAGAGGAATGCTCAGAATAAAAGTAGAAAGTTACTAAATACTAATATTCTATACGTTAGGCAAATACATATTGATTTCAAATTTTATCGATTGATTGTTGGGATAGTAGGAATTTATAATCGTACTTTTTTAAAGAAAGACTAGCTAAATCATTAATAACCGAAATAGCTAATATGTATTGAAATGATCATAAAGGATGAACTCCATTATATCATAACACAACTAAATATAACATAAATTTATTAAGTTGATACTGTTGATGATTATAATGATTAAAATTGAAATGGTAAATTGTGTCTGATGTATCTTCTCTAAAATTTCACAACGATATCGTTAAATTATAAAAAACGGTCGATTTAGGTTAATTCTTAATAAAATGAATATTATCAAATATATTTTTTAATACCACTTAATTTGTGACAATTTGTGAATTTCTCAATAACAAAGATTAAAAATATTCATTTTTATATTTATAAGCAGAAATAAATTTATTCATTAACTTATCAATGTTAATTTTCAGTCAAATTAATATAATAACATTGCTGTTTATATTCTCAATTAATATGTGATTAATTTCATAATCTTAATTACTAATATTCGTATTTTTATAAAAAATGGCGTTGAGATAAGAAATAATAATCTGAATTAACAATCTTAATAACGTTATTGAAGTTGGCGCTTAAACAAAAGAATAATAATATATTTATTTATGGAATTTATCAACAAATTCAGAGCTGTAAAAACAATTATTCTATAGATAAAAAGCGATATAATTTCGTTAAGATTGTTGAAATTAATTACTTTGTTTATATTTTTCGTCTAGGTTACACAATCAAATTGTATTGCATGCCTAGTGAAGCGGGCGGGTATCAGCTAGTTATATATAAGTATATATAATTATATATAATCATACATGATTATATATGGAATTGTATATAAGGTTATATATAATCATATATATTTATATATGACTATATATATGGAGCAATATACAGCCATGCAGGATTATATATTGTTCCATATATAATTATATAGAAGTATATATAATTATATTTAATCATACATGATTGTATATGGAATTGTATATGAGGTTATATATGATCATATATATTTATATATGACTACACGGAAAAAAATAAATAGTGAATGCAACATGATGCAATATTGGTAAATAAACATGATGAAATCATGTGACATACACATGATTTATCATGTTGATGCCACATGACAATCATGTTGCGGTAACATGAGAAAATCATGTGGCATCCACATGATTTATCATGTGGATGCTACATGACAATCATGTGGCAGCAACATGATTTTTATGTAGCGTTAATAGCATAAAATTAAGATGCAACAACTAAATATTTATGCTTCAGAAAAATTATTTAATATCAAGCAACTAGATTTTTTCGGATTTATAATATTGTAGTTGAAAATTAGAGTAAATTATCAAATTAAATCATTTGTAATGATATTTTTGCTTAAAGGGTTAGGGGTAGTCAGGATTTTTAAAAACAGACGTTCTCCAGTACACGGCTGATCAGTTTTTTTTAACTCATAATCGAATTTTTTTTTGCTCAAGTCGTAGTATGTGCCTTGTTTGAGATAAATATTATAGTGGTCTCCAACTGTTTAGAGTTTGAATCGGATATAGAAATTTTTCAAAAATTTGAAAGTGAGGGAATGACAGATTCGTGAGGGAATGATTTTTAATATGATTCTACAATAATTAGAAACTTTAATGCACCAATCATTTATTTTATTGAAAACTATAATAATTAAATAATTTTATTGAAAAAATATAATAATTAAATCCATACTGTAACAATTTAATTGTTACAAACAAAACACGTTGACTCATAAAAGTAATATTAAATATTAATTTAGTTAAAATAATTTAAAGAACGAAATAAAGAAGTACTATATAATCAGTTTAAAATTTGACTTATGTTCTTAACATACTAAAGACAAGAATGTATACTTTTATATTGATGATTTAAATGTATTAAAATAATGAAAAGAGAACATAAATTGCAATTTTGCTAATATAATATTATTTATCCGTTATCAGTCTCTATGCAATCTAATCGCAGTTGTCTTTAGTTATTTTCACCTTCTTGAAGTTTTTATTTTTTCTCATCGACTTCTTTAACAAAATAACAACCTCGACTGAGTAACTTTGGGGGTTTAATTATTTGAAGAACGTCAGCCCAAGCATAAAGTTCTTTATCTTTAACTGTCGGCCATTTCCAGCATTTTGATCCTTTTTTCATTCACCGAACTAAAGCCCCATCATCAGATAATGAAAGAATTTTACCAGGATAGACTTCGTTATTCCATGTTATTAGGACATGATCACCAACTTTATATCCATAGGCATTTTTTTCAGAAGGAGTAATCTTCGATATCTTCACATTACTTTCTACTTTATTAGCTTCTTTTCTTTTACGTCGTGTTGATACTGCAGGTGTGTCCTTATCCGATACTTCAAAAGTTTTATAGTAACCAAGATGAAAATGTTGGCATTTTCCAACGCAGTCAAAACAAGATAGAGTTCTAAATTCAAGCACATCATTTGAGAACACAAAATATTCTAATTTCATCATTTTTAATTCTTTTCAACCAATATTTTTAACCAGGGAAGTTGAAATAGACTTAGATTTTTTGATCAAGTTATCCGTATTATTGATTTCCGCTGTACTTACCTCAATAAGCATTATTGAGGGACACTTTGAACTCAGAATATTTTTAAACACATTTAAATCTGTCACATCTTTCCTTTCAGCCACGGCTTGGTCGGTAGACCTCTTTAAGGTGCCACCAACACCATCTGGTGCTCCTTTGCCATGACCAGGCTCAGAATAGTTCCAAGTAAAATTGTCTATACCTGGCAAAAAATATTTCAAATGATGAGAAACAATGTGAAAAACAAATTTGTTTTTGTGCTGGTTAACTGGGCTGTCACTTAGAATGTGAACAGTATGGATATTCGGTCTTTGATTTTTAAGCCAATTGAATATTGGTTTAAGATGAGCCCACACTGCTATTGAGTCATGTCGACTATTATCAGAGAGAGTACAGAAAGATTGCGTTTTTATAGTATCATCAGGATTTTTCAAATATAACACGCCAGTATGGAGCGTAACTTGCTGCCGACCACCACCAAAGTGAACTGCTTGAATTTCTTCCCTGTATTTGCAACAATAATTCTCACTAAAATCAATGTGGATGAGCACTTCATTTGTTGACAAATTTTTTTTTAACTGTCATCATTTGATACTGGTGTGTAATATTTCCTGCATGTAGTAAGAATGATTTTAATGTCTCTTCTAATACTAAAACAAGTTCCTTCAAAGTAACAGTTATTTCCTTCTTCAAAGGTTTACGCACTGTTTTTGTCTCTCCATTTTTTTCATATGTTAAATTTTCGTACATCCATTGTCGGTAGGTAATAGTTTTAGTAGCTTGGGAAAGGTTGTATTCTAGAGCCTTGTCTCTACAATTTATACATTCTCTAAATAAACATTTAGTACAGTAAATATCACATGTTATATCAGATAACAAACTTGGAATATTATTATGTAAGATGACTTTATTTTCATGTAATTTTGATATGATTAGTTCTATGTTTACGTGAACGACGAATTTACACGTATCTCGTTCTTTAAGGTTTGCCCAAGTTACCCAAAAAGGCCTGTACTTACAAAATGTTGACAAACTTATTTTGTAAGTAACAGAGTTTAAAAATTTTTTATGCAAATTCCGCATATTATCAGTTAACAGACGCTTTTGTTTTAGTAATTTTTCAGATCTAACAAAATCCCTCTTTCCCGGACACATTCGAGAGTTTTCATCTTTCTCCAAGAAATCGTTAATGTCGTGTTTCACTTTTAAAATTTTTGATTTAAGTTTTTTGTTTCTACCTGTTTTGTAATTTTGATTTTTGAAAAAGGTTTTAGAATAATGCATAAGTTTGTGTTTTTTGAAAGGATCTAAATTAAAATTTTTATAGTATGCTTGTTTATTTTTTTGAGTCTTTAGGTTTGCATAAGATTGTGCAAACTGTTTAATGATGATTTCAGAAAATATAAGTTTTTTTTAACTGTCTCGAGTAACTTTGTATTCTTTATCAGGGTTTTGACCTTTGCCTCAGGTGAAGATATGTTTATTCGGTCATTTAACCGTGTGTACTTTTTTCTATATTTTTCGCTCTTCCTAACCTCATCTTTTAAATTTTTTTCTAACTTTGCTATTCTTCCATACAATATTGCTCGTCAATTTCTTAGTTGCCGCCTTCGTCGTGAAGCAACAGTTTCGTTCTTACCAGCATTTACTCGTGAACTAGGTTTTGCTGATGAAACTGGGCTGGCAGGTGGTGACTCATTCATCAACCTTTCTAGATTTTTACGCACATTTTGATTCTTCTCCCTGTATTTTGAACTGTTTAATCGCCATAGTTTCTGTTTCTGCCTTCTTTCTCTTGAACTCATAGCACTTACAGACTTGACCTGACCTTTTTCCTTCTTGTTTAAATACTTGAGTCTTTCTTTCTCTCTAAGTTTCTCCAAACTTTCAGGACAATTTTTTAATTTTTCTCTTCGCTTTCTGTCATACTCCTTTTTCTTTAGCTTCGCTTCTGCAGCAGTTGATTTTCTACTTCTTGACATTATAGATGTTCAGGGTACTGAAACCAATCAAACAAACATAAGTATTCTAAATTTATTGGAAAATAAATCATTCCCTCATTAAAAAATTTTATAACGGAATGACGGTGAGGAAATGACAAAACGAAACAAAATCGCTACAAACTTAGGAACATAACCTTACTTTTTTACGAATTTTAAACAGTACTTTATTACTACCGAAAACATATAAAAATATATGATTATTAAATAAAAAAATGCTTACCTTTTGATAACATTACATGAGGAAATGACATTAAAAAATGTAATATTCAAAAAAATTATTGTCAAATTGATTTTAAGAAAACATCCTTTCTTCAATTGTCCACTCTAGTGTATGTTCTCAAAGGCAATGTTGCCAACTTCAAAAAAAATTAAAGTGGGCCTTGGAGTATTGCTCCAATCACACTGTTACAAAACGGTGAGGGAATGATACTTTTTTTAAAGACAAATTTTGAATTATATTTAAAAATATTTCCATTCGCATTTATGAAACTATGAACTCATATATGTGGAATGGTCATTTTTAGATTTAAGTTTCTCTATTTTATTGTTTTATTGCACCTTTGTACTTAGCAGTAAGTATTTTTTCGAAAAGGTTGTAAATAAAGGGATTAAGAAAAATTCCCAAATAACAGATGTTTAGTTAAGATAGTTTAGAAAATATTCGTATGCGTGGGAACGTAAGTATAGATTTGTATCGTGGCAAAATTGTACATTATAAGTACCGAGAGTGTAAGAACGAAGTATGACTGATGCGGGGGTGAGAAACCCAGGTAGTAAGTAAGATCTAATTTTATGGGACTCGAAGAGGCAGTTCCTACTTAACTTCGATGTACGACAGACCTCTGTCTTTTAACTCTGTCAATTTTTCTAATAAATACTCACTTTAAATTAACCGCCCCGTGATACCTTAATAATAACATCTTTGATAAACATTTAGTATCCTATCCAATAAAATCCGATACTACATTTGGGGGCTCGGTCCGGGATCACGGAAAATCGGGAAATTGAAATGTGTGTAAAAGACGTGTCGGTGCTGTGTGAAAGTTCATATAAGTGCGCGAGTTAGTAAGCCATGGACGATTTAATTGACCAGGTTGCAAGAGGTGTTGCCGCGGCGAATTCGGAAGACGACCAACTTCCGCGACTGAGAGTCCCACAGCTCAGAGAGGAGCTAAGGCGCCGGAACCTCCGGGTGACAGGTCGAAAACCAGAGTTGTTGGCGAGGCTAAGAGCTGCACTATTGGTGGAACGGGATCATGTAGCCGACGATGATGAAGAAAATATTGCAGACCTTGTAGACGACGAAGAAGAAGACGACTTTGAAGACGCTTGAGCAGTCAATGTTGAGGGACTCCCAGGAAGAGGAAACCATGATGTACGTATCCGAAATCCTGCGAATGATGGCCGAGGATACAACGACGAAGACGACGATGGCGCAAATAGTGAGCGTGCCAATCGTACTCCAGTGATTTGAAGACGTGAAGAATCACGAAAATTACTTACCTTTAAAGACGTTGAAGGTGCGTTAGAGAAATTCAGTGGGGATGACCATACAAATGTCCAGCAGTGGTTGGATAATTTTGAAGAAATGGCGGAGCTTTGCAAGTGGGACGAGACCCTGAAGATTACATACGCCAAAAGGTAATCAGACGGATCAGCAAAAATGTTCGTGAACTACGAAAAGTGCGCGAAAACGTGGAAGAAGCTGAAAGAATCTTTGAAAGAAGAGTTCGAGGAAGCTGTCGATTGTTTGAAAATTCATCGAGAGCTGAGTAAGAGAAAGAAGAAGAGTGAGAAAACTCTGCAGGAATACGCATATAAAATGTTGCAGATTGCATCACCAGCGAAGCTAAAAATACAAGATGTGATACAATACGTAATAGAAGGTATTCCTGATGATGTCGTAAATAAAGCTGTGTTATATGGAGCTAAAGATTTTAAACAGCTTAAAGAGAAATTTGGACAGTACGAGAAAATGAAACAAGAGATGTCCAAATCAAAAGCATGACCACCGGAGAAGAAGTTGGAGAAGACAGGACGACCGCAGAGCTACAACCAAGGAAGAAAAGGAAGTCCAGGAGGTGCAGTTTCAACTTCAGGAAAGAAGACGAGTACAAAGTATTACAACAGTACCTACTCAACATCCTCCTCTCTCGTTTCCCTATAGATGTTACAGAGAAGACTGGATCAAGACCGCGTTAGCATTACTTCAATCCAGTCCATGTTGTGCCTCACGACACCTACTTCGTGTTATAACTGGTTTTTAATCCCTTTCTGCGATTTTTTCTTTTAAGAGACGCTGCGCGTAGGCTGCTACAGCTGTCCATTTTCTTCTTTTTTGATCATGCAGGTTACCAAGCTCTCAGGGAAGAGCGCTGTGCCCATTGTTTTTTCGGTGAAGATTTTATCGTCCTTCCATTGATCACACTCGAAAAACGTGTGCTCGGCGTTGTCAATTTTGTCTGGACAGTATTTGCACGTTGGTGTGCTGTACAAAGCCATCTTGAAAAGATAGGCATTGAACTGCCCATGTCCCGTCAGTAGCTGGGTCAGAAAGAAGTCCGTGTCCCCGTGCTTCCGAGAAAGCCAGACGTTGATGTTTGGGATCAGTCGCGCTGTCCATCTGCCTGTCTCTCTCGACGTCCATCGGTCCTACCACTCTTGCTGCGTTTCCGATTTTATCCTCGTTCTTGCCTCTTTCATGTTTTCGCCACCAATTTTAGCGTCGTAGAGTCTTGCTCTCTCGAACGCTAATAGGTCGATGGGCGCAGCTCCCGCAATGACCAATACAGCCGCTTCGAAAACCGTGCGGTAGGCGCAGGCAACTCTGAGAGGGCCTCGCCGCTGCACTGCTGCCATTTTCCGCCGATAGGTTTTCTGCTTTAATATATCTGCCCATATTTCCGCTCCATGAAGCAGTACCGAATGGACTGCTTCCAGAAGGACTCTCCTCTTTTTGGTTCTTGGTCCCATAGTATTTGTCATAATTCTTGCTACGCTAGACACCGTCTTGCTGGCTTTCTGGCATGCATTATCGAAATGTTCGCGGAAAGATAGTTTCTCGTCTATCGTCTAATTTTGGGAAACATTTTTGGTGAGTCAGAACGACCATCTCAGTTTTGTGTTTTGCGAGTTTCAGGTGGTGTTTATCGAGCCAAGTCTCGACAGCATCAATGGTTTCCCGAACTAGTAATTTGGCCTCCTCTACGCTGTCTACTATTATCGTGGCCGCGACGTCGTCTGCAAAGCCCGTTAGCTCTACTTGCTTTGGAAACGGGATTTCCAGAAACTCGTCGTAGTCCGCGTTCCATAGATCGGGCCCCATTATTGAGCCTTGCGGTACGCCAGCCGTTATGGCGTATTCTTGTGGGCGTTTTGTAGTTTCTGCTATTAGCTTTCTTTCGTCAAGGTAGTTGTCAACTAGTGCCAGATTCTCCGGTTCTACGTCAAATCTGTGCTCCAGGGCGTCCAAAATATCTCTCCAATTTGCGCTGTTAAAGGCATTTCTATTGTCTAGCGTGAGGACAAGACACACCTTGCGGGCTTTGAGGCTACCAGTCCATGCTTCTCTCGCTGTCAATACGACTTTCTGGATCGCGCCGACTGTTGAACGTCCTTTCCGGAAGCCATGTAGGTTTGCGGCAAAACCTCCAGCACGATCTATGTCGTTGCGAAGTCTCCCTTGTATGAGCTTCTCGAGTAGTTTTCCAGCAATGTTCAGCATACAGAGTGGTCTAAACGACGAAGGTGTTATGGGGGTTCCCTTACCTTTGTCTAAGAGAACCAATCTCTGCCGTTTCCAGACTGCGGGAAACGTGCCAGTTGCCAAGCATGCGTTGTAGGTGTTCCGGAATATGTCTGGGTATTTCAGGGCTACAATTTTGATCGCCGATGCCGGGATGCCATCAGGTCCAGGAGCCTTTCCTGTTTTAAGTGACTTGGCCGCGTCTTGTAATTCCTTAGTTGTGAAGGGTGTTACTTCGCTGTTCTTAGTGTAGTGTTTCTTCTCCCGCGGCGGGTGTTTGGGGAAAAGCTCCGTTACAACGCTCTCCACCAAGGCAGGAGACTTCGGCGCCTCCGGTGGAGCCTTTCCAAGTCGTTTGGCGACAATTTGGTAGGCTTTACCCCAGAGGTCATTGTCGAGATCGTTGCAGATATCTTTCCACAACTTCGCTTTACTTGCTTTGATGGCTCGGTTAAGCGTCTTTTTGGCCTGTTTATACTCTTTTGAATACAAATCCTGGCTTAGGGAACGTTTCGCGGCTCTCGTTGCTCGGCGACGTAGCTAATGGCATATTTTGCGAAGTTCTGCTATGTCTGCTGACCACCAGTACGCCGGCCTGTGGAAACTCTGATTTTTCGGCCACGGCATAGAGGCGTCACATGCGGCAGCAATTTCCTTCATCGTATTTAGCACTGCCTTTTTCGTCTCGCTGCACGTATCTGGAGTCAGGTTCTGAAGAATAGACCAGCTTCGTGCAAGTGAAGCTTGCAATGCCTCTGGATCAAGCCTTTTGGCATTCCACTTCCGCTTAGAAACGTCGCGTTGTGAAACCAGAGCAAATGCCAATCCAACGCTGAATGTCACGAACTGGTGATCACTGCCACTGTATTCTTCGGATACTGTCCAGTCTTCGATCATGTTGGCAGTCCTTGGAGTCGCCAATGAGATGTCGAGGATGGATTCTTGGTACCCTGGTCTTCTAAAGGTCGTGGTGCTCCCGGTGTTCAGCACTATGAGGTCGAGTCTAGCCGCGACCTCGTTTCCACTGGTGTCGGAGAAAGCAGCGCCCCACTCAGCCGATTTAGCGTTGAAGTCTCCGGCTACTATAACTTCGCCGTCGAACTTAGTGATCGCATCTTCTATATTTGCCAGTTCCTGTCGGAACACACTTATCCCTTCGTTAGGTGAGAGATAGACGCTCATGAAGTAGGTTGTGGGGGTTTGAATCCAGACAAAACCTGCTCCACTTCCGCTG